TATGGTTGGACCTGAGCTTTAGGAAAATCACTTTGGTAGCTGACCGGAAGATGGACTGGAGTAGGGAAAGACTAGAGGTAGGCAGACCCACCAGCAGCCTATTGAAGTAATCCAGGTATGAGGTGATGAGGGTCTACACCAGGGTGGGGACAATGTCAGAGGAGAGAAGGAAGCATATCGAAGAGATGTTGCAAAAGAAGATTCAACACGACTTGCAACTGATTGGAAGTGGAGGACAAGAGATAGCTATTATTATCCCCATTTTCCACATGACAAGCCTGAGGAGGAGTTCATGATAACACCTAGATTATAAGTCTGAGGAACTGGGAGGATGGCACAGTGGATAGACTGTTAAGACTTGGAGTCAAGAAGGCCTGAGTTCAAATCCAACCTCTGGCACTTACTAGTTATGTGACCCTGAACAAATCACTTAACACCTTTTTGCTTCAGGTTCCTATCTCACCCCACCCCCGCCCAGGGAGGGATATTTTTATGAGGACAAAATAAGATAATATTTATGAAATGTTTTACAAACTTCAAAAGGCTATTTAAATGATAATTATTATGATTGCTGTCATACTTTTAATCTTACCATTACCCATCAACATACGACTTTAGAGTGTACGTGAAACTATTCCTTTCTGGTTCTCCTCCTACTTCTCTGACCACTCAGTCTCAGTCTCCTGTACTGGGTTTTCATCCAGTTCATGCTCACTAACTGTGAGCATCCCACAGGATTCTGTTCACCCTCAGTCATCTCATCAGCTCCCATGCTTTCATTATCATCTTTATGTTAAGGATTTTCAGATCTGCTTAGCCAGCTCAACCTCCCTGCTGACCTCCAGTCTCTCATCTCCAACTGCTTTTCAGATATCTGGAACTGGATGTCCTGTAGGCACCTTCAACTCAACACAACCAGAGCTGAACTCATCATTCTTCCACCCAAACCCTCCCATCTTCCCAACTGCTTTATTATTAGCGAGGGCACTGCTATCCTCCCAGCTCTTCAGACTCATAATCTAGATGTTATCATGGACTCCTCCTCAGGTTTGTCATGTGGAAAATAGGGATAATAATAGCTATCTCTTATCTTCCACTTCCAATCAGTTGCAAGTCCTGTTGAATCTCCCTTTGCAACTCTCTTGAATATGCTTCCTTCTCTCCTCTGACACTGTCCCCACCCTGGTGTAGACCCTCATCACCTCATGCCTGGATTACTTCAATACCTTTAGTCTTTCCCTACTCCAGTCCATCTTCCAGTCAGCCACCAAAGTGATTTTCCTAAAGCTCAGGTCCAGCCATATCACCCCCTACCTTACAAACTCCAGGGGCTCCAGGACCAAGGACAAAATCCTTTGGTTGACATTCCAAGCCTTTTGTAACCCTCACCCATCCTCCACACGCTTACGGTCGTCTTATTCTTTATTCCTCTCCAGGTACTCTGTGAACCAGTGACCCTGGCCTCCTGACTATTCCTCAGCTCCATCTCCTGATTCTGGGCATACTCTCTGGCTGCCCCCACGTCTGGGATGCTCCCTCTGCTCTTCTGCCTACCTGCTTCTCTGGTTTCCTTCGTGTCCTAGCTACAATCCCTCTTTCTACAAGAAACCTTTTCCAATCCCCATTAATCTCATAGCCTTTCCTCTGTTGATTATCTCCAATTTGTCTTGTCCATGGCTCGTTTGTATATAGTTGTTTGTAGATTGCCTTTCCCACTGGATTCTGAGCTCCTTCCGAACAAGTACTGGCTTTAGCTTCCTTTATATTCCCAGCATTTAGCACATTGCCTGGCATACAGTGAGCACTCAATAAATGTTGATTGACCCTTCCAACTCAAACATACGATGTGGTTTTTTTAAATTTTATAAATGAGAGGCAGTGCAGCACGGCAACTGATGTATTAGCCTTAGAGCCAAGGACGCCTCCATTGACGTTCTGCCTCCAACACACACTTGCTGTGTGCCTGGGCAACTTATTTACTGAGCCCCTCCAAGTCTCAGTGCCTTCATCTATAAAATCAGTGACAACCTGTAGTGTTTCCTTCATGGAGCTGTTATGAATATCAAATTCCAAGGATTGCCATCAGAGGAATACTTCACAATTGAGGCTCGTATCTTTTTCAAAGAATGATTTACCTCAATGGAGAAGGAAGCAGGGAAGATGATCTTATCTTCATTCCACAACTGAGGAAATTGAGGGCTGGGGAACTGTCCAAGGTCACAGAACAAATGCTTTCCTGAGACACTGCTCTCTTTCTTCAGGTCTGTACTCCAAGACCAAGGAAATCTCATCCCTCAGGACATCAAGGATGGTTTTAGTTATCCTCATCTGTCTGATCATAACTCTGGTGGCTACTATTGTTGTGTGTAAGTTTCTAGGAGCTTTGGACTTTGGGCCTTACTGGCCCTCCCTTGGGCAGCTAGTTGGCACAGTGGATAGAGTGCCAGGCCTGGAGTCAGGAAAACTCATGTTCCTGAGTTCAAATCTGGCCTCCGACATTTACTAGCTGTGTGACCCTGGGCAAGTCACTTAACCTTTTTTGCCTCCGTTTCCTCATCTGTAAAATGAGCTGGAGAAGGAAATGGCAAGCCATTCCAGTATCTTTGACAAGGAAACCCCAAATGGAGTCATAGAGCTGGACACAATTGAAATGACTGAACAACAACAATGGCCCTCCCTTTGCCCCTCTCCTGTAAACATCCCACCCCCTCCCCAAATGTGGTCTTGTCTAGGCTTCTCTCAACCTGAGAGAACTCTTCCTCTTCACCTTCCCATCAGCTTTTGAGATGGCCACGAGTTCAGCTCTGAAAGATCTATGCCCCCCAAGGGGTACCATCTATAGTCTCAAGATAAGTACTTTCCCCATTTCCCCTAAGCCTGAAGTACCCAGGGGCATTCAGTACTTAGGTTGATGCCTCTAGACTTAGAGTCTAGAATACCTAATTTCAAATTGTACCCCACACACTTACTAGTTGTGTGGCCCTAGTCAAGTGCTCTAACTTTTCTGTGCCTCAGTTTCCTCATATGTGATGTAGAGCTAATAATAGCACCTACTTCACAGTATTGTTGTGATGCTCAAATGAAATAATATATGGAAAGTGCTACGTAAATGTTAACTTTTTATTGGGAGAAATCTCTCTTGCATTCACCTTTCTAATCCTTGCTAGGGTTGGAACAATTGTTTCTTGCTATCTTACAATTCTCAGAACAGCTATAATAACCTAAGAATATGGTTTTGCAGAATTTGCAGAATTTTGCAGATTTGCAGAAATAGTTGTCCTTGAATTGTCTCACATCACAGAGTATGAGTGAGAATGATACCCAATGGCCATTCTCTAAACCAAATGAGTGGCTGCACCAATAAGCCTAGAAAGGAGGCAATTACTAGCCCTCAATGTTTTGTCCCTCCACTCCTTTACATAAAAATGGTGGAATTCACTGAACCACTGTGCCTCAGTTTCCTCCTCTATGACGTGAAGAGGTTGGATTCAATGGCCTCTACCGTCTCTTCTAACTCTACATTTATGATCATACGAGCCTTCAAAGGTCATCTGTCCTAACCCTCTGCCTTTACCAATATTAACATTGACCCAAATAGCCAGAGCTTAAAGGGACCAGACATAGGACCAAAAGAAAATATCTTCTTTTCCTTTTCCTTCTTCCCCACTACTAGAGTTAGGTCATTGTATGTAGGTGACCATAATATTAGCCTAATGACCTGGGAAAAAGAAGAGACTGTGACAAGACCCTAGAGGCTGAATCACCTGCTAGGTGGCCCTAAGCCAACCCAAATCCCCAGGGTCATTCACCCACCTGGCCTGGGCACGTATTGCTTATCACAGTACATTTGCAACCTCGGGATTTATGAAGCTGTTTTTAATTTGAGTCAATCCTGAAGTTGAGTTTGCTGCCACAAGGTGGCAGTGGTGGCTCTTTAGGCAGGACCAAGTGCATCAGACTGGACTTCTGCCAGGTTATTCAAAACACACACACACACACACACACACACACACACACTGTGGGGAGGGAAGGGGATGGGGTTCACATCCTTCAGATAATCCTAATTCTTTCCAGCTCTAACCTTATAATCTTGCTCTCTCCAGATTTCCAACTATTCAGTCCAATTTTCAAGTTTGGTTCTAAGAATATTAGCACCTGGAATGCTGAATTCCAGATGCTTAAAAATGGCCTGGAAAATGCAAGCGTCTTAAATTCCCAGACCCTGGTGACAAGAGGCAGTTTGGGCAATGCTAGTATGAGATCCAGATGTTAAAAGAAGGTCTGAAAAACACCAGCACTCAGACACAGGCGACACATGAAAGTTTGAGGAGCATCGGTACTCAGCTCCAGATGTTAAGAAAAGAAATGGAGGAGGTCAGTGCCTTAAATTCACAGACTCAAAGGCTAGATGGTCAGCTGGGAAATGCTACTGTGGAGATCCAGATGATAAAAAGAAGTCTAAAGAATGTTGATACCTTAAAATCCCAGTCCCAGATGCTAAGCCATGATCTAGAAAAGGCCAGTGGAGAGATAAAGACTTTAAAGAGAGATCTAGAAAATGCAAGTGTTTTATATTCCCTGACTCAGATCTTACAAAGTGGTCTAGAACTTTCCAATGCTGAAATCCAGATGTTAAAAACTAATTTGGAGGGCAACAGCACCTTAAGGACCCAGAGCCAAATGTTACGAGGCAATTTGGAAAAAAAACAATGCTGAGTTGCAAAGACTGAAAAAAGGTTTGGAAGATGCTAACACTCTTCATGCCCAGGCCCAGGTGTTAAGAAATTTGGAAAGCACCAATGCTGAGATCCAGGTATTAAGTAAACATTTGGAAAAGACCAATGCTGAAGTCCAGATGTTAAAAATGGGTCTAGGAAATGCCAATATTCAGGCACAGGTAGCAAATAGCAGCCTGAAGAATGTCAGTGATCAGATCCACATGTTAAAAGGAGATTTGGGGTCTATCAGTACCTTGAAGTCAGAGGTCCAGCTATTGAAAAGTCATTTGGAAAGAGCTAACAAAGAGATCCAGATGCTGAAAGAGGATCTGAAGAATGCCAACACCTTAGCTTCCCAAATCCAGACCTTAACCAAAGAATTAGCAAAAGCCAATGATGAGATCCAGAGGCTAAAGCCACTTTTACAAAGAGCAAGCCAGATCCTGGGATTAAGAAGTGACTTGAACAAAGTCAATGTAGAGATACAGAAGGCTGGTGGCAGTACTCTAAATGATGAAATCCTGAAGTTAAAAAGCCAGCTAGAGACAGTAACCCAGCAACAGCAAATGGTGCAAGGTAAGTAACAGCTGGGGTGGGAGGGGGGAGTCCTTAGTCAAGGGAAGGGAGTTCAGAAGGGGCTCAGAGCAAAGTCCTACCAAGTCAAGGTGAGGAGAGAAGAGAGGGCTCTCCAGACACAGTCCTAATAGAAGAAATGCAAGTGCTTTACATTGCCATGGGAGAAAAGGACAGGTATTATAGAGGGCTATTTCAGGCTGATAGACCCCAAATCTCCTTTTAACATGTGGATCTGATCACTGGCATTCTTCAGGCTGCTATTTGCTACCTGTGCCTGAATATTGGCATTTCCTAGACCCAGGTGGCTCAACAATCCAAGGTGTGGAAAGCCCCGATGTTGAGAGAAGTTCCAGAATAAAACAGTGGGAGAGGTTTGGAAGTCAAGAGTCTAGGAAGAATGGGAAGATCACCTCCTCAGTATCCAGTCTCAGAAACGCTTCATTTGCTCTATTCCCTCCTCTCTCTTCTCCTAGAGCGCTTCCTGCGGCTAATAATCCAAGGCTGGCACTTCTACGAGGGGAACGCATACTACTTGTCAATCACCAAAAAGTCTTGGGATGAGGCTGAGGAGTTCTGTGTGTCCCACGACTCTCACCTGGCCTCAGTGACCTCGGAGGAAGAACAGGTCAGTGCCCTTAAAAGGGATCTAAGTTTCCTGAGCTGTAAATGTTGAGAATTGTACTGGATCATTTCTAAGACCCTCTTGGACCTCACATCTGTGCCCTAAGGTCCCTTTTAGCTCTGACATTCTTCGGTTCCTCAGAAAGACTGAGGGAGTGAGAGTATAGGAGGGAGGGGGGATGGAGACAAGGGACTGATGTGTCTTGGGACAGCCAAGCTCTCCAAGAGGAAGCCATTCACCTTGAAAAAGAAAATGCTGGAGTCTTTAATGAGGGGACTCTGGACTCTGGCTCAGGACAAAACCAGACAAGGGTGGTGAGATCAGGAGCTGAGTGTCCAGTGGGCAAAGGAAACAGGACCCTCTGTTTCTGAGGTCTAGGGTATCAAGAAAGGACATACCAGACATCTTTTCCTTCAGTCCTTAGGCCCTAAGGACACATACACATATACATACACATACACATACACATTTTATTCCTGCAACAAGCATTTATTATATCCTAGAGACTGTGTTATGTGCTGAAGATAAAAAATAAACCAGCCTCTGCTCTCAATGAATATATATTCTATGGACGGAAATCAGTATGTGCAAAGATCTCTCTCTCTCTCTCTCTCTCTCTCTCTCTCTCTCTCTCTCTCTCTCTCTCTCTCTCTCTTCTATATCTCTCTATATCTATTTATAGATATTGATAGATATATCTATATCTCTCTATATTCTCTCTCTAAGTAAATGCAGAATAATTGTGTTGGGTGTGGGGTTAGTCATTACAATTCTAACCATTAATTCCTCTCTGTAGGAGTTTCTGGTAAAGGCAACAAATGGAGTTTATCACTGGATAGGCCTGACAGACAAAGGAACTGAAGGCATCTGGCATTGGGTAGATGGAACTCCTTATAACAGTGCCAAAAGCAAAGGGTGAGTCCAATGTGTCTGCACAGCTCCATAAAGAGCTTATTCCAGGTAGACCAAGGCCAGATATATCATGAGGGGGGATCCATGATGTGTGTGTGTGTCTCCAAATAACAAAGGTTAGGATAAGGTTTAATTTCTGGGGCTCAGAGAAAGCCTAGAAATCTTCCTGTTTGGTCTGACTCCATCTGAGCATCTAGCCTTCACAGAGACCCTACTAGTACCATATGATCTGAACATAAACTCAGGATATCTGGGTTCAAGTTGTTCCAGTGGTATGACTTTCAACACATCAATATGTCTCTGAGTGTGTTTGTTCATCCATAAAATAGTGGGATGGGGGAGAAACAACAACCTCTATATGGTGGGGGTCATCAGGAGAGCCCCCCCATATCTTCCAGACTCAGATACTTCCTATGAAGCTAAGCCTACATGCTGCCACTTCTGAAAAGCCCTATGTTCAAGCCCCTTGCTTAAGGACATGGCTCCAGGTTGGTCCCCAAGGTCCAACTGGTCATTTGGGACTGAATCAAAGATGATTGGTGATGGGGCAAGAAGATCCTGCCTGCTCAGTAAACAGTAAAAGGAGAAACAATTTCCATTCTCACTGTTTCTTCCTCCCTTTTGAATGTATGTCTTGGGACTCCTTGGGATTCTGGAATCTTTTCCTTGGACCTCCTCATAGGAGTAGGGAGGATTTCCCTCTCCTTAGCTGTGACTGTGGTAGCTATATGTTATGACAATGAGAACATCAGCTTGTCTAGATGAGTCTGAGACCAGGTTTTCGGTCCTTGGTGGTCTCTTCTGCTTTGAATTTCTTTCGCTGAACAAAAAAGCCTGCTCAACAATCCTGAGATGGAGGTTTCTAGCCTTGGTGGAAATCTCATGACTTCATACAGTCAGGAGTTTCTGGGTACTGTTGAGCATTAAGAGGTGTTTTTTTTAAGGTATAGACATTTTTATTTTTTATTTTTTTAAAGTTATACATATGTAATCATGCAAAACATATCCATAAGAGTCATGTTGTAAAAGAAAACATAGACCAAAAACTAAAAACCCCAAGAAAAATAAAGAAAGCAAAAAAAGAGAAATGCTTCAATCTGTATTCAGACACCATCAGTTCTTCCTCTGGGGCTGGATAGTATTTTTCACCATAAGTCCTTCAGAGTTAGATCGTTGTATTGCTGAGAATAGCTAAGTCAATCACAGCTGATCATTTTACAATATTGCTATTTGTACACAGTACATTTCACTTTACTGCCCATGCAGGTCTTTCCAGCATTCTGAGAGCATCCTGCTCATCATTTCTTATAGTACAATAATATTCCCTAATCACATACCACAACTTGTTCAACCATTCCCTAACTGATGGGCATCCCCTCAATTTTTAATTCTTTGCCCCCAAAAAGAGATGTTACAAATATTTTTGTACACGTCAGTCCTTTTTCTCTTTGGTTTTTTATCTCTTTCGGGATATAGACCTAGTAGTGGTATTGCTAGATCAAAGGGTATGCATGGTTTTATAGCTTTTTGGGCATAGTTCCTAACTGAACAGGTGCTTGTCAGAAGAACCATATCCTTTCTAAGGACTTGAGATCCAGCCTCAGACTCACCCAAGCAAACACATGTCCTCACTGCCATGGGAGAACAGCCATTATAATTGCTACTATGGAGGGAGAAAGGAAAGAAATTCTCCCCATTTGCACCAGGAAACCCAAGGAAGAGCAGAGAGTCCCAAGCCGTGAATTCAAAAGAGAGGAAGGGAAGGCAAGAGCAGAAGATATTTCTCTTTTTGAAGTCTACCAAGTGGGCATCTCTTCCCTCTCAGGAACCAATCATCTTTGGCATAACCCTCACCTGCCCTGCACCTCACCCCTTGCTCCAGGGAATGATCAGGAGCTTGGACATTTCCTAGAGTGAAAGGCCATGCACTCACAGGGCTCACCCTTTGGAGCCAGAGTACAGTGTGCAGTACTGTATGGTACCGGACAAAGTACAGCCAGAGTATAGTAACAGTCTGCTCCATGGGAAGAGTCCCAGTCCAGCAGATCGGAAAACTCCTTTGCTTACCTCTATTACATCTCCACTCCCCACTGCACTAGGTTGCTGAGGAAAAAGCACTTCAAGTGTTACAGAAATGTAAGTCATATTATCCTTCAGTCACAAGCATTTATTAAGCACCTACTCTGTGTCAGGCACCGTGCTAAGTACCAGGGAGACAAAGAAAGACAAAAGACAGTCCCTGTTCTCAAAGTAGTCTAATGGGAGAGGCAACGTGCAGACAACTACGTACAAACAAGCCATAGACATGCTAAACTGGGGATGATTAGCAGAGGCAGGGCACTAAGATTAACGAGGACTAGAAAAGGCTGCTCGCTGAAGGAAGCCAGGGAAAGTCAGAGGTGCAGATGAGGAGGAAAGACTTTCAGGCACGGGAGATCGCTACGGAAAATACTTACAGGTGAGAGTTGGAGGGTCTTGTTTGAGGAACAGCAAGAATCACAGAGTGAGGGTGGGGGAGGGAAGGAAAGCAGCTGTAGGATGAAAGAAAATTGGGGAGATGGGGGTTACGAAGGTCTTCGAATGCCAAGCAGACGCCTGATTTTATGTTTGATCCTGGAGGCAATAGGAAGCCTCTTGGAATTTACTGAACGGGAGGGGAACGTGGAGGTGATATGGTCACATCTGCATTGTAGGAAGATGGATTTAGCACCTGAGTGGAGGATGGAGTCGGGAGAGACTTGTGGCTAGAATATCAGCCTGAAAGCTACTGCAAGTAATTCACACATGAGGTAATGAGGGTAGGGGCAGCATCAGAGGAGTATTTGAGAGACGGTGTGAAGGTAGGAAATGGTGAGACCTGACAACAGATTGGATGTGGGGGTTGAGAGAGAGAGAGGATTAGAGGAGGACACGTTGGTTGGAAGCCTGATAACTGGGAGGATGGTGGTGCCCTCATCAGCAATAGGGACGTTAGGAAGAAAGGAGAATATTGGTGAAAGAGGAATACCATTTTAGATGTGTCAGATTTAAGATGTCTGTGGGACCCAGTTCAAGACGTCCAATGTGAAATTGAATGCATGAGACTGGAGGTCAGGAGAGAAATCAGAGCAGGACAGGCAGATCTGCAAATCATCAGCATAGAGATAATGTAATCCCAGGGAACTGATGAGAAAGCCGAGTGAAACAATAGGAGAAAAGGAGAGGAGAGGAGGAGGGGAGGAGGAGGGTCTCCTCCACCCGGCCATCAGCAAACATTTATTATGTGACTGTTTTGTGTCAGACTCTGCTAGGGGTACAAGAATCAAAACAAAAGTCCCTACCCTAATGATGCTTACATTTAAACATGGTAAACAACATACCCATATGTAGGTATTCAAAATAGATATGAGGTTCCCTTGGTGGGTGGAAAGGCACTAACAGCCAGAGAGACTAGAAAAGTTATTTATTAAGAGCTTTCTGTGTGGACCCCCAAAGAGTAATACAAGCAGTTTCTCACAGGTGAGGCATTCATGTCCCCATTCGTGATAGGGTCGCCATCCCGTACTCTCATCCATCTTTCTCTCTCCCCACCACAATCCAGGGCCTTCTATACTCAGATAAGAAGCGTCATGCAGATGGATCAACTTCCTTTCAAATCAGTTACAAGTAACCCCAATTTTTCCACTTCCTCTTGATAAAACAAAGATTTTTCTTTCCAGGTTTTGGAACAAGAAGCAACCAGACAACTGGAACCATGGCAACGGGATACAAGAAGACTGTGTCCATTCTATGGAGAAGTGGAATGACATGATATGTCAGGCACCTTATCCCTGGATTTGCAAGAAGGTGCTATACCCAACCAGGGGCTTCAATCTCTTCCCCACCCTCATCCCCAGCAATCTGCCAACAAAGGAGTAATCAGGCTTTTACTTCTTCCACCACGATTTCAATTATTTTCTCAAAAACCTAGGAAAAACCTAAATTCTAGAGATGTTGAACTTGGAGTCATTGTGACCTCAGATGTTTACTGTAACCCTGATCCAGACATTTAATTACTCTGTGCCTCAGTTTCTCCATCTGTAAAATAAAGGAGTGGGATTTCACTCTATGTGAACAGCTCTACATTCACGACCTTGAATCAAATCAAGCCTACCCACTCTGTGACCACCACAGCTCACATAGCTTTCTCCCTTTTCCAAGCTCCTATTGGTGTATGCTGAATTTTATCTATTTTTTTTGGTACTCACTGTTACAATATTGTACCATCATTTTCTGTTTCACACATGCCTATCTCATCCCTCAACCAAACTATGAGCCCTGGCAAGGCTGGGCTCCAGCCTGAGACCACGTCTGAGATTCTAGATTCTGTCCCTAAAATGCCTTTCACAGTGCCTTGTATACATAGATACACAATAAATATTTACTAATCCATTGAGCAATTTAGAATATTCCCATAAGGCCTTTCCTCATACTTACCTCCTCTCCCTACCTCCAAATTGGCATGCCCTCAGCCCTTGGAATTCTCATTATCCCACTGATTATCTACATTAAGACTTAGCCTTGGGGCAGCTAGGTTACCAGTGGTTAGAGCACCAGCCCTGGAGTCAGGATGACCTGAGTTAAAATCCGGCCTCAGATGCTTGACTATCTGTGTGACCCTGGGCAAGTCACTTAACTCCATTGCCTAGCCAAAACAATAAAAAACTTAAAAAAAAAAGACTTAGCCTTGAGTATAAGAAACCCCATGCCCTGACCCCTTGTAGATGCTTGGTCAGTTTCACAAGATTATGTCCCTGTAATAGTTATCACTATTCCCAGAAAATCATCTCAGTGACTCTGGTCTTGCCTCCTAGCATCCCTAGGACGTGATTCAGTCTCAGTTGATTTGATTGGCTTGGGCTATTCTTATGGATTGGAGACAACCCCTTGGCCTAGGGTAGATGGACTCCCCCAAATCAGTCACCAAGCAGTGAGTCAATCCCAGGGAGCTACTGAGGGCAACCACAGAGAGACAGTGGCTGAGCCTCCCAAACATGTGGTCCATGTGGCTGTGTGGAAGCATGGGCTTCACCATGCTCCCCTTATGCCTCCCCCCAGATCTGCTCTTAGCTCTGCTTGGCTTCTGTATTGACTAACTCTAGATGGTAGGTCTGCCTGGCCTAGGCACCTAAGTCCACCAAGTAAATGAGACTCTAGCGATCCACTCTCTACTTGCACATTGGAGAGGAGTTGCCTTCTTCCTTCTCCAGTGTGGAGTTACACACACACACACACACACACACACACACACACAGGTCCAAGGAAAGAACAGGTTAGTCAAGATGCCGGACATAGAACTCAGGATGTGGCTTGAGCTGAGCATGGGATTTGCAGTCTGAAGACCTTAGCCCACATCATAGCTTGGCCACTTAGGAGCTACATGACCTTAAGCAAGTCACTTAACCTCTATCATCAAATGAAAAGGTTCAACTAAATGATCTCCACAATCCACCTCAATTCTATTATATGTTCTATAATACCACACCCTTAATTAAGTCAACAAGCATTTATTAAGCACTTACTATATGCCAGGCACTGTGTTAATTACTGAGAATACAAAATACAAGCAGAAAGAAAGACAGTCCCTGCCTTGGAAGAGCTTACATTCCTAATGGGGGAAAGTACACATAAAAGACAGCTGAAAAGCAGAGATGAGGGTATCCAGAGAAGGAGAAAGTCCATGAGAGTCTGGAATACAGTCTGGAAAGGAACACCAATGTGTCTAGCTCAGGTCTCCTCCTTCAAATGGAGGTTCTGGGAGAAAGCAGTTGATTAGAGGAGAAAGCTGAAGCAGCAGAAGATCCTTCCAATGGGTGAGGTCCAGGGGTAGCCTGGACTTCCAGCCTCATCCTGGGCATTGTAGCCAAAGACCAGGGGAGTTAGGAGTGTGATGGAGGCAGGATTTGAACTCATTATCTCTGATACTCTCAGGCAATGCTCTTTCTACTGATGAACAGCTTGCAGATGTATTAGCTATGTTGTTGTCAAGTTTCTAGATATCTCTAAATAGCTCTAGGATAAATGGAATTCCTCACATTTTACAGCACAAATCAGAGTGGCCATATAGCAATTGCAGTCATGGAGGGGATCATTCAGAGGCAAACAACACCAGCCTTGATTCAAATCTCATGCTAGGCAATGGGGTGAAGTGACTTGCCCAGGGTCACACAGCTAGTGAGTGTCAAGTGTCTGAGGCCCAATTTGAACTCAGATCCCCCGGACTGCAGGGCCAGTGCTCTATCCACTGTGCCACCTAGCTGCCCCCATGGAGATACTTTATACATGACCATTTATAATGCACTTTGCAAACCTTAAAGCACTGTAAGCATGGTAGCTATTATTATTATTACTATCCTTACTATTATTATTATGACTATTAATTTCCTCCAAATTCAATGTGGCTATTTGTGGGTGATAACTATCTAAATCATAGCCCAATGACTTGAGCGTCCACCCAATGTGTTACTGTATGTAAAAAAAAAAAAAGATACACAGATCCAAGAGCAAAATCTATTAGGCATGATACAATGTAGAAAAATAAAGAGAATTAAGAAGTAAAACAAAGATTTTTTTTTTTGGGTAGGCAATGGGGTTAAGTGACTTGCCCAGGATCACACAGCTAGTGTTATGTGTCTGGGGCTGGATTTGAACTCAGGTCCTCCTGACTCCAAGGCTGGAGCTCTTTCCACTGTACCACCTCACTGCCTCTGAAGTAAAACATTCTTGACATCCATGTGTAAACCGTGTACACCTCCAGGAGATTTGTAGTCTAATTCTCCGTCATTTCTTCTAAATCTTCTGGTCAATAGTGGAAGGTCACACTCAATTCGCAATTCACTGTCCCAGTGGGAGACACTTAGAGTGTGGTACAGTTAACTTCTAGGAGTCTTTCCCTGAGTCCCTTGGGACAGGCTGAAGAATGGCTGAAAGTGGGGCACAGTGGATAGAGCTCTGGCCTTGGAGTCAGGAGGACCTGGGTTCAAATCAGGTCTCAAATACTTGACGCTTACTAGCTGTGTGACCTTGGGCAAGTCACTTAGCCCCAACTGCCAAGCCAAAAAAAAAAAAAAGAAGAAGAAGAAGAATGACTGAAAGCCCTGATCTCTGCCCTACAAGTCACCATAACATTCCAAGTGGATGCCAGATGCCACAACAGCCATCCCACATAGCCATCTTCGATTATCTGTCCCAAACATAATTTTCTTCTTCTCACATCAGTCCATTAATCACCCCCATAGTCTCTGAAATTCTACCTTATAAAATTTCCACCTGCTAGAGCATCCTTGACAATCAGAGTCCTGTCCTGGTGACATCACTAGGCTGTGGGTTGGTGCACAGGCCAAGCATTGTGGCAAATGAGGTCCTATGGAGATGTCCCTCACACCCAGGAAACACAAGTTTCTGACCCACCCGAGCGTCTGCCCATCTTTTCATTTGAATACATGATCTTGAGTAGATTGGACTCAGTGACTGATGAAATCCCTCCCAACTATCAAATTCTGGGATTGTGAGATTCTGTCAAAGTTATTCCCCTTATTCGGGAGTCAGTTTCCTCATGTTTAAAATAGGAGAGTGGACTCATTGAACTCTAAGGACCCTTTAAGCTATGCTGTTCTATGATCCCTCCCCCATTCCCAGTCATAGAACATCAGACCATGAAGGGACCTTAGAGATCATATAGCCCAAGTACTTCATTTTTAAAAGCAAGGAAATGAGGCCTAGAGAGAGAGGAAGTGATTTGCCTGAGGTCACCCAGCTAGCAAAGAGCAAAGACAAGATTTGACCTGGCTCCTCTCACTCGAAATTCAGCACTTTTTTCTAGCTCCTGACCCCTGTTTTTATATTGGATGAGGGCATTCCACTCCCTAGCCTTCCCATCCCAACCTGGGTGGGCAAGCCCCTTGGGCTCAGCCATTTCTTGCCACAGCACCCCACTAATCTTCTACATTCATGCCTCGGTGAGAGGCAACTTCACTCTCATGGGGAAAAGACCTATCTTTTTCAAGACTCAGGGAGAGTTTCTGTATCCCTAAAGCCTCCAGCTTTTCTCCCCGTCCCCTAATCTTTATGCATGAAAACCAAATGGCTAGAGAATTCTCCAATGGGGTTTAGTTCATTCATCTATGCCAACTCTCAGGACTGAACACATTTTGTCTGGGCCTGACTTAAGGCCCTCTATGATATGACCCATCCTGCTTATCCCATCTTTGTCCTACCATATACATTAGCCCATTGGAGAGGGTGATCAGTACTCAGGTTCAATGATTATATGAGTTACAAAGAGAGACCCCTTCACCCCAACTAATGAATATAATGCCTGAAGGCTCCGATGCAGGGAGCGCCATTAGCCTTGTATCTCATTCCAGACCTTAGCTTCCCAATTCTGAGGTACATATAAGGGGGCATCATTCCGGAATTTTAAAGCAGTTGACTGGCTATTATTCCTTTGATGAATGAACATTGTCTCTTCACAAGCTCATAAGGTCATAGATTTTGAGCAGTAAGGGGCTTCAGAGATAATCTAGTCCAATCCTCTCATTTTACAGATAAGGAAACTGAGGACAAAGATGTCAAGGACATTACAATAGCCTTCTGGCTGGTCTCCCGGCCTCCAGTTTTTCCTCGCTCCAGTCCATCCTCCATTGAGCTGTCAAATTGATACTCCTAGAGCACAGGTCTGACTGTATCAGCTCTCCCCATGATACAATAAACTCTAGGGGCTCTCTATTACTTCCTGAATCAAATATAAACTCCTCCATTTGGTTTTTAAAGCCTTTCATCACCTGTCCCCTTTCTAACTTCTAACTTTCCAGCCTCCCTTTCACATACTCTGCCATCCAGTGACATTGGGCCTCCTCAAACACATACAAGACACTCCATCTCTGGACTCTGCATATTTTCATTGGCTGTCCACGATGCCTGGGACTCTCTTCCTTCTCATCTCCATCTCCTGACTTCCTTCAAACCTTACCTCCTACAAGAAGCCTTTCCTTGTCTCCCTTAAGCTAGTCCTCCCACCATGGGTCTCTCCCATTTTTCCTAAATCTGTCTTGTTGCCATGTAGTTCTGTCAGATTGTACCTCCCAGGGCAGCCAGGTGACAGAGTGGATAGCGCACCGGCCCTGAAGTCAGGAGGACCTGAGTTCAAATCCAGCCTCAGACCAAATACTTGACACGTACTAGCTGTGTGACCTTGGGCAAGTCACTTAACCTCGATTGCTTCACTAAAAAAATATATATATATAACTATATATCTATATATCTATATATATAGATATATAGTATCTCCCATTAGAATGTAAGTTCTTTAGAAGAAGGGAGTGGTTTTGGTCTTTCTTTGCATCCCCAGTGCTTAGCAAAGTGCCTGGCATATAGTAGGTGCTTAATAAATGCTTGTTGCTTCCTTGTTGGGATTTGAACAAGGTCACATAGCTAGGTTACTTCCCTTTAACAAAATTTTCCTCTATGATTATGAACTGCTAGCTCATTAGTGAGGAGTCATTCTCAGGA